TCCCACTTAATACACATTGTAACTCCACAAGGCTGTGCTGCTGATGGTGGTGCCCAGGACTCTGGACAAAGTTTAGGATGCACAATAAATAGGGTCAGCATTGAGATCAGCATTGGTGGGAGGCAGGGGAGGAAGCAAGGTTGGTACAGAAAACTGAGCAACATGGCCCCCAACAGCATCAACCACAGGAAGCTCTGGGGCCAACATGACCCATGGTGGATGACTTGAGCTGGACCAAATCCTTTCCCCATCTCAAGCAGACATTAGATGTGAGCTTCCAGAGCAGGATGTGACAGTACATGCGTCCATCCCAAGGGACGGCTCCTGGCCAACAGCATACAGAAAAGAAAGCATCAGGCATGACACACTTACAGAAATGCTGACATGCAGTTTTGGTTAGCATCACACTAGCACCTCAAGGAACATAGAGGAGGTAGAGAACATGGTCTCTTGGGTGATGCTAACAGTTTAGTAAAGGGTTGGTAAACCATATACAGGTGAACTGCTTATTGAAAAAACCCCAGAGCATAACTGGGTGAAAGATGATGCCAGGTCAAAGGGAGAGCAAGCCAGTAACAAGAGTTCCCCATTACTACAAAGTTCTACCCTTTAACAGTGAATGGCTGTGGGCCTTGCAACCATGAGTAATGATAAATAAACTATAATCAAAGTGTAAAAAGACCAAGACTTACAAGGATTTGGAAAGATGTGCAGGCCTTAGTACAAACTCTTTTCAGAACAAATTTAAAATCCCCAGCTTTTCGTTGAGTCCTTCTTTTCTTGGCCGCTGAGCTACCTTGAGTTTTTCACAAGAGTTTTCATCTGCATCCTGAGTGAGTGAAGCTACTTCAAATCTTAGCCACTTTTCCTTTAGATGAATGAAAGCACTTAAAAGCTGAATAACAGGAGAAATAGAGTAACCTATTGTACTGGTATTATAAAACTTTATTTCATTCATTCAACAATTATTTGAGTACTATCAACATTTCAACATTTGGGTAGTTGTGGGGCACTGTAGTTACAAGCAGTGTTTGGCAGACAAGCTGAGTTTGAGGGACAGCCCTGTCAATTTCTAGATTTGTGTAAAGCTATTTTTCCAATGCTGGGAGTCTTCATATGTTAAGCGGGACTTACAGAAGTGCTGGTCTAACAGCATTGTGGTGAGAATTAAATAATTCATGCAAAAGGGCCGGCCACGCTCATATTAAGTCATTAATATGGTCAGTAAAGCTACTTGTTACCAGTAATAGCCACAGCAGCAGCAGGTGGTGTTGGGCATTTAACACAGAACAAGAGAGCAAAGAGATCTGCATTCCCAGAGCGGACAGACAAGGTAGGCCCACAAGGGAGTGAGAAACAAAGCCTTAACTGAACGTGTAGCGCTGGGAAAGAGAGGCAAGGAATTCTGGGTAGACTAGAAGATGAAGACACCAGCACAACTTGTAAAACCATTCTTTGCTGTGCCCTGTTCAGCCACAATGCCAACTGTCAATACTGTGTGCTGTGTTTGGCATCATTTTTTAGCAGGCACTGAAGTGTGACGTGTGATGCCTGGTGCACAGGCAGCATTCAAATGCCTGAAGGGTGAATGAGCAAATAAATGAGTGAATGAAGGAGGGCCAACAGGGATCAAGGAGTGTGTCACATGAGAGTGACAGAGTGCTCCAGCCCTGGGTCATGGTATGGGAAAGTCAGTGCCATGAGCTAAGGCTGGTGAGTGGGAGAAGCAGAAGTGTCAGTGGTCTATGTGCAAACGGAGGCCATGAGATGAGGCTGAGGAGGGAGCAGGGACCTACTGAGTCAGGTTCTACGAGCCACAGTAAGGTATTTGAACATAACGCCTGTGAAAAGCCTTTAAAGATATTTCATACTTTATATTTTAAAGGAAGAATAAAATCATTGTGTATTTTCAAGCTTATTCTGTATTCTGTGAGCACACTAATACTCCATTTTAGGAGGGGAGAAGCTACAAGTAAGCATAATTTGTAAATAATCTATAATCTCACCACCCAGAGATGGCCATCACGTGACCTAAACAACAAGCAGTTAGCCTACATTGTCTATTACTCTGTAGCAAATCAGCCCTCAGCTTGGATGACTTCTGATTCTCCATGACTCTAGGGTTGATGGGCAACCCCCAGATGGTCCCTCTGCTCCGTGGCACAGCTGGAGCTCAATAGAGACTGACAAATCCACAGCGTTCTCTCCGGCCTCCTATCCCTCCCCCACAGCCTTTCCCTCAGTAACCTGGCCTGAGGTTCTCTGCACCCCAGTGGCAGAGAAGGACAAAAGGGGAGCTGCCATGCCTCCAGTCTGGATGTAGTCATCCACTGTATTTCTTCCACCTCAAAGAAAATAAGATGCCACTTGGGGACAGAAGACTAATTGACTGCTATAATGAAACTATCTAGCATATGAAGTGACTGGCTAGACACAACACTGACCAGTTGTTAACTGCTTCTGGTACTAAATAATCAGGAAAACTGGATTAATAAGCCACCAATGCAGTCACTTTGTCATCTTCTGCCACAAACACTTCTGTAATTAACCTAAAACTAAGTGCGTATAGTGGGTAATTAAAGTGTGCCCAGCCTATCTGCCTAACAGGAGGGAGAAGTGGGTCATGTATGCTTCAGTTCACACAATGGCAGACACAACAGAGTGCACACACATCCCAGAAAATAGGTTGCCAAGTCAAACGAGACCAAGTATAAGGGCAAACATGAAGGCTTTCTTCTTACCCTCTGCTCAGAAGCATTTGGGGGTTTCTTAATTGTGCTCACTAGACAAGGGAAAGCCACCTGATTAAATGGCTCCTGGAGCTGAGTCCCCTAATCTTGCCTTCAGAGAAGGGACAGTGACTCCACTTTTAGCCCTCTTACTAATGCCCACTGCATAGCCTTGGTTCAGTCTCTCATCACCTGTCTTGGATTTTTGCAGAATTTCTGACAAGTCTCTATGCTGTTCATCTCCACCTGCTCCAATTCATCTTCTAGCAAGACACCAGGGTTGCCTTTCTCACTGTTTTTATGCTCCAGGAAATGACAAGAAAAGGTCAGAAGCAGGTACCATATTCAGAGTAAGAAGGGACTTGGCAAATGATGACATGGATTTCCTCTTGATGAGTGTTCATTTTTTTAATTTTTATTTTTGATATTGTTTACATAGTTGAAAGGGAGGCATGCCCATGTAGACCTCTGATCAGGATGGGGAGGGTTCAAGTATGGAAGAAGATGGGTGGGACTTTTGCATCCACAGAGGAGAAAGGAGAGGTCTGACTTCTTGTTGTCAGACTACATCAGCACACAAGGATGGGGAAAGATCCATAAATAACTTGAGATCCCAATGTGCAGAACGTTCCAAGGATGTAACTTCAGTGTTATTGATAGTTTAGAGATGTCATTGACTTCACTGCACCAGGATTAAGAAAATCTTCCCAAAATCTATTGGCTGATTAGTCTACCTTAGTGCATCCCCAGGCCCAGGAACATGCTGCAAAGCTTGGCCAGTAGTTGTACAACTTGGTCTGCTTTGCGACCTCTGACGAGGCACTCAACATCCTCTGCTGGCCTGGGTGAGCTGGCCATGTCCCCCATGTGCATCTGGGCATGCTGTCCACTGTACATGCATCAGCAACTGAGGAGGCCCAGTCCCTTTACATGCACTCCAAGATCTGACTACATAGCTTACAATTGGCCTGTGGCTAGGGTTTGATGAGTCCAGCGACCTAGTTGCAGAGTTTCCCAAGAAACCTCACCTGGAAGTTACCTCAGACTTGACTCTTGTGTATCCCCAGCCAGTGCAAGGTCAGATTCAGTCTGTCACCAGTACCAGCCAACACACACACTTGCATTTCTTCCTAAATGAGCACCAACTGAACCATTTTTCAAGAGATACACAGTCAGTTTGACATGTTTTAAAGATTTGCAGGCAACAAGGCAGAGCTTGGAGGCCAGGAAATCACTAATGATTGCAATAACCCTACTGACGAGTGCAGGTTCGAAGCAAGCCAGGATTAGAGGAAGGAGAAATACAAGGAATATGAATGAAATCATATAACTGACATAACACCAGTGAACAAGCAGCAAAGAAGGATATCACCAAAGTTTCCAATCTAAGGAGACAATGTGGTTATTCACTGAGATAGACATACAGGTAGAGCAGGTTTGGGAGTCATCAAAACCTTCCCAAGAGAATGGCCAGCTCTGAATAAACAGCGAGCGTGGGAAAGAAGTCCAGGCTGCGAATTCTAAAACAGGAATATAGGCAGCCATGGACACCTCCAGGAAGGGAATCAGGTGATAAGAGTAATACCAACTAAAGGAACCAAAGATGGCATCAGGTCTGGAAATCCCAAATAACTCCACATCGCAAAAGACCCAAAACTTTTATCCAAAATTATTAAGAGAAAGATGAGCATCTTTAAGCAGAGACTCACAACTAAGAGAGTAGGAAAACATGCCCTTATCTCCAGGGGACAAAGACATGGCCTAAAACTCAGATTCAGTGTTAACAGACTTCCAAACAACCAGAAATAAACACTAAAGGTCTACAAAATAAAACTAGATGTAGATGAAGAACCTAAGCAGTAGATAATAAAAGGCCATCACTAGCAAAACTACCCAAGACAAAAAAAGGCAGAGGGCTCCATTGCAGCTAACACCACATACTTATTCACCACGCAGCTGGCTGAGAATTAGCTTCATCTCCAGAAACAGACTTTGCAATATACCAAATAAGGCTTTCTGACCTACCTGATATCTGTAGAATACTTTCACTGTAAGCTATCAGCATTCCAGTTCATGGACAAGGCTCTGAGAGCCTGGTTAACATTGAGGTCAGCCCTCAAAAGACAGACCTGTGGCACCTTCAGGGTAAAGGGCCAAACCGTGCTGGGCAACTTTTACCCAGAGATCAACCAGGAGCCAGGCACGAAGCCACACTTCAGCCCATCTCATGGAAATACCAAAAGTTTAAATGATGTGATTACAAACATAGAAGAGAATTCATCAATAATTTTATTCTGATTTATAATCTAGTATCACTTCAGAAAGATCCACCTCAGAAAACATCCAAAGGATGCTGGCTTACCAATATAAAAGCAAGTCATCATTGTATGATTTATAATACAGAATACACAATAAATTATATTTACATGCAATGACTAGACTATCACACACAGGGTATAAAAATACAGTATTTTTATGTACATTTTTAAAGATTTACATTTTCATGTACAGTTTATAAAGTTAAAAATCTCCTGCACAAATTCTTATGTGTACAGAGTTGACATACCCCCATTCTTATAGCTGTATCACCACACAGACTTGCTTAAAACTATAATACTACCAACACTTGCATTCTTCTTACTTCATGTTCAGTCTTGGCACCCATATGCTAACACATTATTTTTGAAATGTGAAGGAAATAAAACATGCAGACATCTCTTCATATAAGAAAATGATATAAAATATGCTACTAGATCAACATTTATCAATTCCATAGTTACCTAGTTCTGTCCAACTTCCTGTATTACTTTCATACAGGTACATGCAAAACTAGCAGTTTATGGATTTAAAAAAAATTTAAAGTAATACTATAGTCTGACAACACTTAGGCATTAAGAATGCAAAAATCTATCAGCCCTAGCCTGTTGATTTTTCCTGCTTTAGCAGACATCTCAAGTAAACATTACATACTAAAATTATTAGAAATGTCAATATTCCTAACTTTTAAAGGATCTGCATCAGATAATACACCAATCACTTAAAAAGCAAAACACTAACAGACAGCTATTGGACACATCAGAGTACTGTGTATTCTGCTGTAAGAACGGGTGGAAGGAAAATCCAAGGGAAACCACTAGAGGCGCACCCACCGTCCCTGCTCAGGGAGCTCTTGCACACTCCCAGTCAGCTCCAAGATACCTGAAGGCTTTATAAAAAGTGAAGAGAAGTTACACTACTTCTCTTTAAAAAACTTCTTGAAAAGTAACAAAGGTATCAGCACCTCTCCCACTTCCCCCAAGTAGCTAAAGATCAACAAGAAAAATAAAGTGCCAATGTCTAAAGTACTGTAATTCTTTAAGAGGCACTAACCCATTTGATGGCTTAGGATTAAATATGAAAATAGGCCACATCTGATCTGAATAATAAATAGAAGGTAGGTATGCCAGTCTATGCAATTCCTGCCTAGGTGGGGGCTGGACGAGAGCGCTACCTCCTCCCCCATTCATGGCACCGAAACCTGTACCCACACCATCAATTCTGATCCCAAGCAATGAGATTTCTAGGATGGAAAGCACAAGGTCTGTGCCACGGCGAGGTTGAAAAAGAAGGTGCACTCCGGGTCACTGGGCGAACTGCTGAGGCTCTCCTCTCCGCTGCTCATGTCTTCAGAGGAGTCCTCACTGAGTGGGCAGAGAGAGCAAGAGGCACACTGTTACTCACAATGCACAGAGAGTACACCATTCCTCAACACAGCCTCTCACAGGCCAACAGAAACCCAACCTCCTAGAGGCTATGGGAGTATTGCTCTATACCTTTGAATGTTCACATTTAGTATTTAAACTGTACAGGGACAAACTCAACTTATGTGGACTTCTTAAGATTACTAGATTCTAATTAGGAAATATAGCTTTTCTTAAGAGCTTAAACAATTGAATATTTGCCAAACTATTGTTTGTATCAACTGACAACTGTAGCAGTAACTAACAGAATTCTAAGTCGCATGGTCTATTTAGATGGTTTTCCTGCATCACTAATTGCATTATCAACATTCCCAATTATCAAACCAAGAAACTAACAAGTCTAAAAGTAGAAAAACAGAATTTCTGGGTCTCTGTCTCCATGATATAAGAAATAATTTTTTTTGCAAACAAAAAATGCACTCAGATTAAAACACTCAGAGCATCCACAGATGTCAGCCCCATTGGTGATGATGGCTCTCTGTTCTCCAGCCACACCGTCATGCTTTTCCCCACAGCATGTTATTAGAAATTCAGCTAACATGAAAAAGGCCAGAATGTTCAGTTTTGCTTATTTTTTTTTCAAACCAAACTGCATTTCAAAGGGAAAGGGAAATGAGGAAGATGAAACAAAAAAATAAATAAAACAAACAAGCAAAAAAAAAAAAACACCCAGATTAAAGAACAAGGTTCTGGTAAACCATTAACTGTTTTGCTACACTCATTTGTGCTTAAGGTTCTCACTGAAATAACACTAATAGAGTAGAGGCTTCCTCGGATGTCTTATTTGTAAAGCTCTCTGGCTGTATCATGCCAGTGATATCAAGCCAGCGATAATCTGGGGAAGTCGAATCAGTTGAGGGACCTGCTTACTTTTCACTCTCGCCAAAGCAGCCCCCCTCCGGGATGGTGGGCAGCTCGGGGACACTGTAGTAGCTGTTGTGCAGATTCTGTGCTGTGCGCCTTGACACAATCCACACCAGCTTCTTCAGATCGGGCTTGCAGCATTCAGGAGAGGAATATTCAGCTAAGCATTTGGAAACTAACTCCCTCCAATAAAAGAACTCGGCATCATTAATCTGGGGAAGAAAAAAAAAAAACTTTAAGCGATGAGGTTATAGCAGTGGGTCCCAGATCTTTGTGCATCATAGCATTAGCGCACCATCTGTTAAAAACAAACCAAAAACATGATTTTTCTGGCTCCCACTTCCACATGTTCCTATTTAGCTGATGACAGAACTGCAGCCTGGACATCAAGATTTCTAAGTTCCCCAGGTGATTATAATTTGCAGCCAAAAGGTGGGAACCAGTGGTTTTGAAAACACTGTAAGTAGAAACTGTAAGATTCAGCAGAGAGAGCTCTGCCAAGTCTAAGGAAACGCAAAAGATCTTTAAACATGAGGTTTGCTAATAAATCAATGACTAAGTCAATTCTGTAATAGCCCAAATTCAAAGGAAGTTCACATTCCTTTGGTTAAGGAAACATTTTGCTACAAAAAGCTAACTTCTTTCAGTAACAAGGCATCACTCAGATTGCTAATCATTGTAATATATTACAATACCAGATTCCAACTAAAGAAGTTAGCAACCCAAAAAGAAGACCATTGGCCCAGAGGACACAGTTCCTCCACCACTGGGAGTGCCCCACTTTATTGCATGAAGTCAATTTTCACAGATGTTTCTAGACACCACTGACAAGGACAATTCAAATGAAAACTAATAAAAAATATCATGATTAAAACCAAACTAAAAATCATCTGTGCTACCAAATGTTTCACATCATGTGTCACCCTAAAGAGATGACTTTTACACATCTTGGCCCCCATTTCTCCTGAATCTAGCTAAGTCTCAATTCCTCTGTAATCCAGCTCTCGCCTTTGGCTTTTCATCACTCTACTGGCATCACCTCTGAGGTTCCCCGTGGCAGCCTGCACCTCTTATCTTGACCACCTCCTTAAGAACCTTTGTGTCTGACCCTGCTTGCTTGTCTGAACATGCCTTGCTTCACTTAGCTCCAAGCAGGACAGAGGCCCATAAACCCCCACTACAGCCCTAGGAACAAAAGTCCCCACCAAATTTCCCATTGTTTCTACAACCTCCATCTCTTAACCATTAATTGCCTTCTAAATGTTTATTCCAGACTTCCCAATGCCTGCTAGAACATCTACCTACCGGGATACATAAGCACATAAAATTGTACTGTTATCACTAATTACTTCTCCCAATTTTCCTGCCAGTAATGACAACATTCTCTCTATCACTACTTGCAAATCTTAATCATTTGTGATTCCTTGCCTCATCTCCTTGTTTGACAACCAAAGCCACCACAGAGCTGGACAGTTTTCCTGTTTGTGACTGAGACAGTCTGTCTGTAAGGCCATCCTAACATGACTTCTCAAGCCCCTATGATCCACAGCTGCATGGCCACAAACATTGTCCCCACCATCAACAGTGAAGACTTTCATTTTTTAAGATTTATTTATTTATTTGTCTCTACAGAAAATGAGGAAAGGGACAGACAGAGAGATATCTAGAGATCTTCCATCTGAGAGCTCACTATCCAATGGCCACAACAACCTGGGTTGGGCCAAGCTGAATCCAGGAGCCTGAAGATTCTTTGAAACCAATCAAGCTCTGAGCCATAGCGTAACTCTGCTGCTCTTCCATACATGTTGGAGAACAAAATCCTGAACTAGTTGTATATTCATCAATATCTGGCACTGAGACACAACAAATAAAAGAAGCCACTGCATTTTAAATTCCACATTTCTCCCAACTACATTACTAGTTTAGGAAGGATTGCGCTTTTGTGGTATATTTTATGGTTGCAAAAACTTCCTGCCCAGGTCTACCGTGGGGCTTTAAGAGAAACAACTGCTGATGTTGCTATGGTAATCCTACCAATTGGATATGACGGGATGCTCCCCTATAACGTTTGTGTATGTGCTAAGTCAGCTTCCCGGAACACATGTTAAGAACACTGTGCTGTGTCAGCATCTGGTATGGGACACTTGCAAACAGAGAGATGCCAGGTTAAGTGACCAGGTTTTCCAGTTTAATATTACCTAGCTCAAAGCTGCATTTTAAAAAATATCAACACTTGAGATCCAAGAAAAAAAATGATGTAACATAGTTCCATCTTACATTCATATTTAAGTTGCCACAGGGAAAACATAAAACATCATCAGGAGCAAAATCTTAAGAAATATACTTAAGGTATTTACCTTGGAATGTTTTTTAACAAGTAGGAGAATTTCCAGTAGCTCAACGGATTTCAAAGTTTCTACTTCCAAATTGAGAAGGCACAGAGCTAATACTGATGGCTAGAAGGAGAAAATAATAATAAACATTTTCTACAAGCTCAGAATAAAAACGGTGAGACATGTCCACGAGCAATCAACTCACTTTAGCTTTTGAGAAAACAAGTCGGCAGTTGCAAGCTTTCAGCTGAGCTTCTAGCTTATCGAGGCTCAGGATGTCTTTCCTACACAACACAGAGAAATGACAATTCATTAGATGTCCAAAGTCTTGAATCACTTCAAAGTCCAGTGTGTAACAACATGAATTTCACTGGCATTCTAATTCGTTCCTCTTGGCTATGGCAATCGTTACAGCACAAAACTTTACTGACCTTTCTGAAGTGTGGCAAAGTACAATAGCATGGTATAAGTGCAAAAAGTTTAAGGCAGTAGTAGCTTCCAATTCATAGTGCAATTTTTCTGAAATGATCTGCTCCATCCGCTTTATGTCAGAAGCAGTGCATTTACACTGACTAATCCGGATTACATCATGAGTGGATGGCACGTTGCATTCTTCTTCAACGATCCTAGCAGCCAGCAAAAAGCAACAGACCCCAATGCAAGACAAATGCTTAGGCTTCACCTGAAAGGCAAATGAAAGCTTTCTTCTAAAAATGTTCCCTTTTGCTATATCAAAGCACACGGTAATGATGTCTCCACAATGAACAAAGAGCAGCCGAGCCGTGGCCCTTGCACACATCCTTCACCCAGTTACACTCAGTTTTGCATGTTCAGACCTATTTCATCTTTTTTTTTTAATGTTGAACATTTTAATCATTTACATTTCAACTCAGGCAACAAACATGCAGGTTCAAAAGGTAGACTTCTAGCAGTGGGCTACTCTGCATTTGAGACTTACAAATTCCATCATAGCATCATCCCTCCCAAAATAAATTAAACCTTTTAACAGCAAAACAAACACTCCCTCGCTGGATGTAAATAATACTTTCTATTTCTTTGTATGGGAAAATACCTAACAAGCATTCTATGCTTCAATGTAATTTTACCCAAGGGCAAAACCTCATCAGCTGTGCAGAGCGGGACATATGCAGAAGCTGCTGCAGACAGATGGCTGCCCTTTTCTTTCCAATGCCCCGAAAACTGACCTGGCAGCTGACAACAATCCTACTGGCAGAAGCATCACCATGTTTTTCTACTGGTTGCTAGAGATTCTTAGTAAGACTGTGGTCCTCTGCTTTGAGAAGACTTGTACTGAAGGCAGGGGATTACACTCAACAGACAGTTACATTTCCTTTGTTGCGTTTCACTACTGAAAACATCTAGGCTCCAGGAGACGCACGCCTAGAGGTAAAACTGCAAGACCTTACACATCTACAGCAAGTAGCTGAAAACCAACTTGGTTCTTTTGTCACATTTTGAAAACACAGCATTCAAGAGGGACAGTAAAGCCTGACACGACAATGCACTCAATCTTGCAGTTTCAGTTTCTGATGATTAAACGGCCGTGTTGCCCGCCAATACTACATCCCTCTGCTATTATCTGGACCCTTGCACTCCAGGCCTTCTGCGAGGCACTAGGCATACAAAACCAATGATGTATTTATTAAAATGACTAAATACCTTCATAAGAGCCAAGAATCTGTCCAAAATATTGACAGCCAGGACAAAGGTCTCCGTGCAAGATCCAAAAAAGTTAGTCAAACTCCTTAGGTCTTCTACTTTGGCATTTCGCAATCTTGGACACAAAGTGTTATCATTCTGCAGGGAAACCCAAGAGCCAGCATTCAGAAGCTAAACCACAACACACAGAGAGGTCCCCAACACAGAGCAATTCTCTTTTGTCTAGTATCCATAGGGGGTGTGGACAGGGCAGCATCACTCAACTAAAGCTCCACACTGGGCCAGACACAGGGCAATCACTGCTTCCTAGATACACAACACTGTGGCAGCAATGCCACAGGAAGTGAAGGATTGCCACATTCAGCACGGTTGTAGCAAATGCAATATAGCAACCTGGAATGCAGGAGGTTCTTTTAGTTTTTTCTAGAATCATTTATAGGATCAACACATAACTCGCAGTGGCAAGCTGGGATACACATTTGAGGAAGTCATTTCTCTACATGTAGCATCATTCAAACTTGTTGGAAACAGAAGTTTGTCAGCCTTCATCCTCCGGGAAAATCAACTCTGCAAGCTTCAGTCTAGCTGGATTCAGCAGGCAGAGCGGAGGCTCTCTCCCCTCTCAGGCCTGTGTGCTGCTTGAGCAAGTTCCCTTTTCTGCAAACTTACCTCCGGAGTAGCCTCAATCAAGCTCAGCCCTTTCTCTCGAGGTTGGAATCTTTGTTCTTGCTCCAGGTAAAGGTTCAACAATCCAAGGAGCTGGACTCCTTTCCGGTCCGCCAAGTACTCTATCCCCAAACCCTTCATCTGCGGGCAAAGAAACCACACACAGAATGTAACTTGGCGGGGGGGCGGGGGGTCATCAGAACGGCAGTAGGGCAGGGGGCACCCAGGTGCCAGGCACCTCCGGGGAGCAGCAGAAACGACTGAGCCAGGAGAGGGGTCGTCTGCAGAACCCTAGGGAAAAGCGTTCCCACAGCCGCCCGGGGAGGTGTGGCAAGGGGAGGGATCTTGGTCACGTCCGCAGGCCAGCTCCGGGTGGGACCGGCCACCTCCGGCCTCTCCGAAGCGGGCTCTGGCTCCTCTACATTCCGCCCCACCTGGAACCGCGCGGAGAGGGACTTTTAACCCAGCGGAATGCAAAAAGAACAGGGGCTGCGGGGGGACACTGACCACAGCGGGTCCAGGGGGTGGGGCACAGCACAATAGGGAAGAGGGGAGGAAGATCTCACCGCTGAACAAAGAAGTAGAGGGAGGGGACTCCCGAGCCCCGCCCCGCCCGAGCCCGGCTGCCAGAGCCCCTCTCCCCGGGGCCAGCCCAGCAGCTCTCCCCGTCTGCTGGGGTGCGCCTCCACGGTGCACAACTGTGAGGCAGACACTCCTGGCCCGGGAAGGGCGAGGCGCCCACCAGGCGGAGGTCCAGGGAAGGTTAGTGCAGCCCTGCCGGCCGGCAGACGCGGAGACATCACCGATCCCTGCACCGAGGCCCCAGCTCCCCAGCCGTTCAGCAACCCCGGGGCTGTCAATCTAACAAGCACCACCCTCCTACGAGCCACCCCACCCCACCCCGAAACCACAAAGTGGGGGGTAACGGAGCGGAGAGCCGCCTGTGGCCTTGCCGCCCCTCCGTCCCTTCCCCTCATCACACCTCGCAGGTGCAAGGGGGCAAAGAACCAGGCAGCTCTGCTTTGGGAGTGAGGGGTGCGCAGCTCCAGGCACTCGGCTCACCCTCCCCCACCACCAACAAAGAGCCCGGACGCCCACCGCGGCGGTGCCCGCTCACCGTGCCGGAGCCCACCGCAGCGGCCCGCGGCGTCGCCGTCCGGAGGACGCTGGGCGCGGCGGGGAGGACGAGGTCGGGGACCCGCCGCCTCAGCGATGCTCCGGGGCCCGCATTCGAGCCGTGCCCGCAGCCGCGGCACCTCGGCTTACAGCGCCGGTGCCATCCCGCTCCCTGCGCGCCCCGGTCTGCTCGCGGGCTGCTCCGGCCCTCGAGCCCTGCCCCTCCGCGGGGACCTCGGCCGCCGCCGTCGCCGCCGCCTCCTGAGCCGGGCCCCGGCGAACCCCTTGTTTTTGTTTTGAGTTTTCGACGCCCCTAAGGGGGCGGGGCACGTGACTCCCCGCGGAGGGATCCTCCACTTCCCCCGGCGGCTTGGGAAAAGAGTCCCGCCCCAATGGCCTCCGTCTCAGCTCCCCCTCGGCTGCTGCGAGCCAGTCCTCTCCGTGGGGCCCAGGGCGGAGGATGGGGCCTGAGCGTCGGGCATCTCCCGCGACGGGTTCCTCCGGGTAAGGCAGGGGAGCGGGACGGTGGGGTGGCGGAAGGAGACCGATGCGGACGCATCGCGCCCTTTAAAGGGCCCCGATTTGTTTTGTTTTCTCAGGTTTGAAAAGTCCGCCCAAAGGAGCCGGCGTTCTGATTGGGTGCGGGCGGGGCGAGCCGAAAGCCGAGGCTCTGATTGACTCTCGGATCGGGATTGGCTGGCTGATTAGGCTCTGAGCCTTCTGATTTGCTGGCGCCGTAACCTGCGTCTCTATCTTCCAGGGGGCCTTAGCAACCCCGAGGAACCTGTTTTGCGCGTGCGCGGGTGGGCAGCGCCGGAGACGCTCAGGGAGCTGACCCGTAGGTCTGTCTCCTGGGAACAGAACGCTTTGATCGTTCCCCCAAAGTAGACTAACAGAGTGATAAATAAATTAAAAATAAAAGCCGCCAAGGCAGGGTTGAAGTGTATCTTTTTTGTATCCTGCGCGCTCATTTGGCAGTGCCCGTGTTAATTACCTTGTCGGGGTGCTGCCTGTGATACAGTGCAATCATGTTTCGGCGTCTTAAAATCCTGCAACCCAAGAATTTAAAAAGCGGAATGGGGGATGCGGAAGGCGCTGAGCGGAAAGTTGAGCTGTGAGAGCTGGCTGATGAGTACCGGAGGTTTCGGGGCAGTGTGCTCTCAGCCTGGAACATTTTCCCTAATAAAAAGTTCAAAGGAGGGACTTGGAGATAAACACTTGGCGCATAAACATCTGTGTGATTATAATAGCCTGTCTCCGGAGGTGGCCGGCTGCTGTTGTTTAAACCAAGACTGCCAGAGCTGCTTGGTCCTGGATCGGCCATAAATGATCATTTGTGGTTCATGATAATTAGCGTTTTCATTCTAGAGAAACACCTCTTCCAAAGCAGGCCAAAAAGCAAACCACCCAGCTTTGCTCAGCCGGAGGTACTTTCTCACACAAGTGTCTTTGGAGGCTGTAGGACCCTCTGGAACACTGACACCTTTATTTTCTGCCTCTGCAAAGTGCCCCCTTCATCCCCTCACTCCATACCAGTCCCTCCTTCTCTCCCTCCCCAGCCCACGATAAATAGCACACATTCATGGGTTCTGTTGGAAAGCCTCAGACAGCCCCTGGGGAGGGATTGTTCTGCTCAGGTGTGTTTTCCGTGAGTTATTTTGTTGCTGGTGAGACAGGGAAGGTACAGAATATGGCTTCAATAGCCCCTGGGTCTCTCCCAGAACAACTGAGCCGGGGTAGGAGGGTCCGAGCACCTGTGTGGGGTCGGAAGGCAGAGGGAGAGAGAGGGAAAGCCCCCTTATTTCAGAGAGGGATGACCTCCTTGAGATTTTGGAAAATAACATACAGTGTTTAAGTGCAGTATAAATCAACTTTTTTCAGTGCTTGCTTAAACCTTTTTTAAAAAAGATTTATTTATTCTTATGGGAAAGGCAGATTTATAGAGAGAAGGAGAGAAAGATCTTCCATCCTCTGATTCACTCCCCACAGGTCCACAATGGCTGGAGCTGAGCTTATCGCCAGGAGCCAGGAGCCCCTTCCAGGTCTCCCACATGCATACAGTGTCCCAAGGGTTTGGACCATCCTCTGCTGCTTTCCCAGGCTTCAGATAGGAAGCTGGGTGGGAAGTGGAGCAGCCAGAACACAAACTGGCACCCATATGGGATGCTGGTGCTTGTGGGTGGAGGATTAATCAGATAAGTGGTCCATCCAGCCCCTGCTTGAACTTCTAAACATGAATTTAGACAGTCACCCTGCTGGAGAGTTATGCTAACAAGCATAACCAGTGGCTGGCTCTAGCTTATAAAATGAAGCTAAGCTAAGCTGAGAACCCATACCTAGAGAACAGTCACTCTAGGACAACAGCCTCTATTAGACACAGAAAGCAACTAAGCAAAAGCGTAGACCCCGAGAGGCAGTTAGGGACCAAACCATGGAAGAGCATGGGAACTATTTTTCAAGTCAGAGGGTACAAATAGAAATGGAATTCAAGGTATGAAATATATGATATGAAAGAGGAAATGTAACTGTGGGAAAGGAGTTTTAAAAATACAGAGATGCAGAAATCGTCCTTTGTGTAAGATCACAAAATGGTAGAAAGTTACACCAAATACATACTACACACTGCTTTGTAACTGCCTTCTTATGTGTCTTTTTACAGGCACCTTCTTGAGTAACACCAACCATTCTCCAAGCATAAGCCAAGAAAGCTTTGGCAAATGTGTTGGATTTCCTCTGCTCTGCTAGGCCTCCTGGGTACAATGGAAAAAAAACAAATCAGGAGGTCCAGAGTGGAATCCTGCATATCCACTTCTGGTCATGTATCTCTTTAAGATGAAAAGGAAAAGCACCTTTAAAAATATTGGCCCATCCGTTCCTTATTTGTTTTTCAAAGAGTAACCTTCCCACAGACTCTCAGCCCCGTCACCTCGGCTTGCTGAGCTGGTACTGTGGGTTTGATTCTTGAATCGACAGACCTGGGCTGCTCAGGCTTTCCCGCTGCCCACCCTTGGCATGTGCCCACAGCATGCTCCTTCATAACTTAAGGACTGCAGAAAAAAGGCACCTCATCCAGGAAAGACCAGGAGAAACGTGACTTTATTGTCAGGAGCTTGGCCTGCTACTGTTGGCATTGGGATGATATCCTGCTCCCAATAGCCAACCTGACCCACAGCATGCTGCTGTCCTCAGGGACACCCAAGACTAGACAGTGGGCACACAAGGAGAAATGAGTTGGAGAGCACCGGAACCAGGCGATGCCTGCCCTTGGCACCCACTGGCTCAGATGTGAATCAAGCCTACTCAGGTATTCCCAAGGTGGCTGTAGACTGCCCAGACTTCCTGTACAAGTAGCAGCATGGGCACAACTACCCAGAGTCCAGCTTACCCACCCCCCAGGGTCTCTGTCTTCCGACAGCAAATCTTAGCTTGCTATTTTCCATGGACATCTCAGGAACACGCACTAATGGGGGAGCTGAGACACCAGGATCAGGATTTGTAACGCTGACAGGACACTGCCCTCCCTCCCCTATTTCTGGCTCCCTGTCTGTGCTGTTTTCTGTCAGGGAGAAGTGGTTTATAGCCCCAGACCATCCTGCTCAGATTAACTCTGCTGACAGAACCCACAAATGCCTGCTGGGGGTTGGGGAGAACGGGAAGGAGAAACCTGTGCAATCCAACCTGGGTGACACTTCGAAGCAACTCAGATTTTTTAGGCCAAGAATTTAAAATTTAATCTGAAGCTAGAAGGATACAATGACCTATATAACAGATGATTAATTCCTTCTCTCATGCAAAGAGTGAGATAAACCACTGAGGCAGCTCATAGAGTATTCCCTTGGTGGTTTTCTCTGTGTGTGTTTCTCTCTCTCTCTCTCTCTCTCTCTCTCTCTCTCTCTCTCTCACACACACACACACACACACACACACACACCTGATATCTGAAATCAACAAGCCCAATCTAGAACAATCTATTTACCATATTTTGTTACTGTTGTTGCAAATGGTAGCTGCAGGATGTGTCTTCTTGCTAGGGCAGTGTTGATCTACTCCAGGGCCTGTGCCATACACAGCAGTCAGTTCCCAGCCATTGTTGAGAGCCCAGCTTCAGGACTGCAGGCATGGTCCACCCCATAGAGACCACCTGGAGGATGGCCACAGGAGGTCCAGTTCTCCCACCCAGCCACTTTAGGCTCTTCCAACTGCACTAGCCTGCAAGTGAGTTTGCCTGCAAGTAAAGTGCCTGTAAAACCTGACAACTCAGTGCTCATCCAGTTCCCTGGTCAGCCAGCTGATTGTGATCCAGAGGATTCTCTGTCCTACTGAACATCAGCTGCAATAATTGCAGTGCCATTGAACTTGGGGAGGAAAACAGGACAATTCCTGAGAGCAGAACTGAGGATCTCATAATAGTGAGTTGTACCCCAAAGTAAGTGTATTCCAAGTGACCCAGGATACCTCCTGGAGCGTTCTACATTATTATTTATATAACACATTCTTCTTTTGTAATCTGTTCCAAGCACCAGAACATGAGTCGGATATTTCCTGTCTTTCTTGACATTCCAGTGCTATGTGAAATTGACGCTGTCAGCAAAGAATCACTTAGGAGACATCTGTTGAGTCTATCATTGAGTTCCCCAAAGACCTTCCAGTGTCTGTGAAAGTAATCGTCGCTTATTTTGATCTCACATGAAAAGACAGCTGACATGTAAAGTGATATGAATAAGCAGTATGTGCTTAAATTTGCCTTTGTTAACATTTGAATGTGACTTTGAAATGTTTTTTTTTTTAAATTTTATTTCACTTCTAAAAAGAAAGATTGCTTTAGACCAACAATACTCAGGACATTGAATTACACATGTGATTATGCATTTTTGTTTTTTGCTCTTTGTTTTTTGGTTTTTGTTTTGTTTTGTTTTTAACCACATCCTTAACCAGAAACTGTGGCCACATGCAGGAGCAAACCCAGATCTGGGGTATTCAGGGTTGGTGGGCCAGAGGAGATTGGAGAAGGTCTTGGACCTATGAGCAAAGAGTTTAGGTGAGGAGTGGCCACAGGGGGCGGAGCAGAGAGTCTGAAATGGTTTACTGGCTGGAGAAATGTTTTTCACAGGATCTTCCAGGAGAGTGTATCTGGCTACTCAAAGGGCAGCAGGTAGCCACGCACTGCAAGGAACTCATCTGAGTCAGATTTTAAAACACAGAAGTAT